CGACTCAAGGTTGACTCAGCCTTCCATCCTTCTAAGGTTGGTAAAATGAGGACCCAGATTGTTGGAGGCAATATGCTGACTCTATAAACCACTTAGAGAGGGCTGTAAAAGCACTGTGAAGCAGTATATAAGTGTTATTGCTATGTGTGATAAATTTCTGCCATTCATAATAACATATATGCACATTAGATTCCAGGAGAGCTGGTTCCTCTAAAGATCCTGTGAACAGAATACAGAGGGAACACAGGAGGGTTAGAAATTTCTTAAAAATAAGGAATGGTTGTTGTTATTGTTGTTGTTATTGTTGTCATTTGCTGCTAATGACTAACACAGTACTCTGGAATCTCTTATTTCAGGATTTGCATGAAAGCTTCATTGGGCTAGTAATCTCAACTTATATAAAGTGTTTTATATAAAAACACTTTATATAAAAGTGTTTTTAAGTTTATCATCTAGATCAGGAGTGTCGAACATGCAGCGTTACGTCACACAACATTGCGACTTTCCACCCCTTCACTAAAATGAGTGTGGGCGCGACCAGTGCATAACGCATCCGGCCTACAGGTTTGATAGCCCTGATCTAGATAAATAGCAGCTCTGAGGTTGTGGAGTTCATCATACTTGTTTGCAATTTGATTGTTGCGATAATAAACAATTCAATTTCTTGCAGAGTTGAGGACGCACTTCAGCTTAGCATCTGAGAGTGATAATGCAGATCAAGATGAGATTGAAGCTGAAGAGGAACATGCTCCTGACCCAGCAGTTCAAGGTCCTTGCCTTGTATTGGATGATGCAGTAGCTACCTCAGGAGTGAGCACCCTTAGTTCAACAGTATCTCATGATTCTCAGGCTGCCCAGAGATCTCTCAATGTTCAACTTGGGAGGCTGAAATTGGAAACTAATAGGTGTGTTTGAATTTCCCCTATTTACAAAATTGGTTCAAGGTTTTCAAATGGATGCATGCATCATGTGGATATTTTTGTTTCTGTTTGGCTTACTTTACCTTTATCAATCCAGTTTTAGTAATGCCCTGAACCAGGGGAAGGTGACAGGGTATGCTACCTCAATAGGATATTACTGAGGCAAATTACAGCAAAACATTAAGAGTGCATTAATATTTAAATTATGTGAAAAATCATAAATAACCATATTGAAGTAGCATACATTTCATATTACACTCATGTAGTTATAATTGCATAACCTATTAATCACATTAATAACACCACCAATCATCTCAGTTACAATCATTCCTTGCTCCCTAGTTCTATATGTCTTTTGAGAGAGGTTTTTTTTAAAAAAAAACCATTTCCTAATATCAAGAAAGAAGACAGAGTTCTTAGAGCTCATAGTAAGGTGTACCACAAGAGGGCAGCACCAGCAGAAAACACCTCCCTCCAAGTGGTCTCCCACTTCACCACATGTGAGGTGGATACTTTTATTAGACACTGGAGCAGGGGTGGGATTCAGCCAGTTCAACCTTACTATCTATTCAGGAGAACCGGTTGGTAACTTTCTAAGCAGTTCGGAGAACCGGTTGTTGGAAGAAATCTTTTGTTTTTTCCCACTTTACAGAGCAAATCCTATAAGGAAGGCAGGAAGGAAACATTCTGGTGTTGTTTCTAGCCTAATCTTTATTGCCCTGCTTACAGAAACTGCCTCTCCGGTTAACCCTTATGACATCGTAACAACTAAGGTGATGTTCAGTTGGCCATGCCCACATGGTCACATGACCACTGAGCCCCACCTACCCAGCTGTTTTTT